CATCGCATGACTCTTCTTCACCAACTCAATTATGGCTGCCATCAACGCATTACACGACTCCAATATTTTTTCGTTCACTTCCAATCTGCAATCATTATAGTACAACATTTAAATTGCTTCCATAATTTATTCCTTCGTTCATTTATTTGCAGACATTAATTCGTTGCAGCTTTTCACATTCACAAAACTTACCATTTCAAATTGAATGACTTAAAGTGAACACATTCAGTGTTTTGTCACCGTCTCACTTATCGAAATATGAATTCAATGAAACGGCAATTGATTATTGAATATACATTCAAAACAAAAACAGTCAATCGATAATGGACAACGTGAATGAACCTAATGCCAGAGTCAGTGGCTCTACTCTTCTTCTGCATTTCTTCGATCATTTGAACGGCCTTCTGAATTGCTGCATCCATACGTTTCATTTCATCTTCCAACAATGCGTCAACTTTCTCAGCGTCGAGATCACCGTTCGACGTTGGCAATTGCTTACAAAGAGTCTCCAGCTTCTCAACGCATTTCTACAATCTCATCAAATAGATCAGAAATGCAAAGTCAGAATAAAGAGATTGAACAGAAAAGAAATCAGATAAAAATCACAGTATCTGTGTAAGATAAGCAGCACACCTTTAGAGCAGGTAAAAATGTGCCTTTCGCTTCTGCATAATTCGACTCTTTAAGCGTTTTCACTACTCCGAGTGCTTCGACTGCGACCAATCGACATTGCTCGTGAACGGCTGAATTCGTGGAAAAAAATTACACCTTCTAACGAAAAATTCGNCACTGCGATTGCATTTTGCGTTCCGTATGTTTATTTGAGAAATGCATCTAGCTGATATTTGGGTGCTATGATAAAACAGACCGCAAAGACAGAGCACCGTGATCTATTTCATCGAAGAAACACCCCGCGAAAAATAGGTTTTTCAATTCTCCTGTATAGTGGATTTGTTTAATGAAGAAGACGATCCGTTGATAGGGATAAACTTTCTAACGAAAGCATGGCGAACCGAATACTGAAACGATGAAGAAACAAACGTTCGTAGTGTTGGATCGAGACTGTGTACGCAGCAGACGCACTGCAAACGATCAAATCGGCCAGTTCGTGACCAAACACGACCATTTCATGCACCAGACGGGCGTCTGGTTCATCACCAATTTTGACAGTTAGTTCATCGATTTGCTCTATTCGTGCTCGAATTGACGGTAAAGCCAATTCTGGAATCATTTGTGGATGTTTCTAATAAAATATTTGTGGACTCCGAACAAATATATGAATGTTTTCGCTTTCATTTTCGAGAAGTTAGCACCAATGGATGCCGTACTGATAGTGATAGACGATATGAAAATAATGACGATAGAAAGAGCTTTAAAATAACAACTGAATTAATTAATCTTCAAGTTCAATGATGCTATAAGTTTCGCAGATATGTACAAAAGTATGATGAGAATGTGAATTTTTAAGAAGAAATTTCTTTCTCTTACGGATGGGATATGAGATTGAGGTAGCACTGTGAAGTTCATCTTTGGCATGTAACAAATTCTGTTCGATTCCGTTGCAACACGATTCTGAAAGCTGCATTTTTCGCATACAATATCGAAAACTTATCAACAAAGAAATTAATTACATCTCAAAATGACGATCCAATAAGACTCACTATGAATGCTTTCGACTAACGAATCACTCAACGAATTTTGCACTAAACAGCTTTGTGTGTTTAA